CAGGTCGAGGCTGCGGTGGCCGTGAGCATGCCACTGCACTCCAGCCTGGGCAACAGAGTGCGACTCCGACGCAAATAAATAAATAAATAAATGACAAAATAAAAAAACAAGCAAACAACTAATGGCATCTCGAGGAGGTGAGGCTCCTTGTCCAAGGCCACATGAGCCAACGTCAAAACTGAAATTCCTGCCTCGGTTTGACGGGCACCGACGCCTGCACACCGTGCTGCACCGTCCTGCCGTGATGGCCCATCTTGTTCAGGGCTGGGGAAGAGGTCAGCAAGCTGGGGCAAGGCTGTGAATCGGGCTGAGGCCTCCAAGGCCTGGTGAGGAACTTGAACTCAATCCTCGGGTCTAGACTCTCCAGTCTTGGGAAACAGCTTCTCAAACTACAACGTCCAAGGGCCAGCGGCTGTGGGTGGGGGCTTCTGGGTAAATGCCACAGATTTTGTCCCACACTAACAGAGGCAGCATGGGCATGAGTGGACATGGTGAGGGAGTGGCCAGCTACAGCAGGCCAGGAGCTTTTTTTTTTTGAGTCGGAGTCTTACTTTGTCACCCAGACTGGAGTGCAGTGGCACACTCCCAGCCACCACAGTCTCGACCTGCTGGGCTCCAGCGATCCTTCCACCTCAGCCTCCCAAGTAGGCTTGCCAAAGTGCTGGGATTACAGGCTGAGCCACCAAGCCTGGCCGGGCCAGGAGCTTTAAAAGTCTACAACTTGCCAGGCTCAGTGGCTCAGCCTGTAATCCTGTGCCTTTGGGAGGCTGAGGTGAGTGGATTGCCTGAGCCCGCGTGAGCAACTTGGCGAGACCTCATCTCTACAATAAATTTTAAAAAATTAGCCGGGCGTGGTAGCGTGCGCCTGTAGTTCCAGCTACGTGGAAGTCTGAGGCGGAAGGATCGCCGGAGCCCAGCAGGTCGAGGCTGCGGTGGCCGGGAGCGGCCACTGTACTCCAGTCTGGGCGATAGAGTGAGACTCCAACTCAACAACAACAAAAAAAAGTCTACAACTTAGTTCCTCCTTGCACATCCTGTGAGTTGGAGATAGCATCGCCATTTTGAAGACGTTAATTGGAGGATCAGAAAGGTACAGTCGCTCATTAAAGGTCACACAGGAGAGGCTAAAAACAGTCTCTAGACTGTACAGTTCTTCCCCTACCTGAAACTCCTCCCACTCCTGAGGCTGAATCAGGGAGATGGTTTGGACACAAAGCAAATGGGTGTCTGATGCCAATTTTGGAAGATTTGGGCAAGAGTTCTGGAACAATTGTCCCCCATCGAACCTAGACAAAGCCACTCCTCCAAAAAATCCTGATGGCCTTTCAATTATTTGTTAAAATCTGGGCCCCTGGCCAGGCTCGGTGGCTCCATCTGTAATCCCAGCACTTTGGAAGGCCGAGGCAAGAGGATTGCCTGAGCCAGCGGGTTCGAGACCCGCCCGGGCAACTTGGTGAGACCTCGTCTCTATAATAAATCAAAAACTAGCCGGGCATGGTAGCGCACGCCTGTAGTTCCAGCTACTTGGAAGACTGAGGTGGAAGAATCGCCAGAGCCCAGCAGGTTGAGGCTGCGGTGGTCAGGAGCGTGCCACTGCACTCCAGCCTGGGCGACAGAGTGAGACTCCGACTCAAAAAAAAAAAAAAATCTGGGACCCTGAGCTACCCTCTGGCCCTAGATGCTAAGCCAAGTCCATTTGGGTTTTTTTGTTATTGTTGTTGTTGTTTTCAGTCAGAGTCTTATGTTGTTGCCCATGCTGGAGTGCACTGGCACGCTCACAGCCATTTTGACCTGCTGGGCTTTCGATCCTTCCATCTCAGCCTTCCAGTTGCTGGAACGACAGGCATGCGCCATCATGCCTGGCTAATTTTTTTAATTTATTGTGGAGACACAGTCTTGTCATGTTGCCGAGGCTGGTCTCGAATCCCAGGGCTCTGGCAATCCTCTTGCCTCAGCCTCCAAAAGTGCTGGGATGACAGGCATGAGCCACCATGCCTGGCTCACAGAAGTAGGTGTGTGTGTTGTGGAAGTGGGCGGGGGGTTTGCTGCTCTTCAGGGATGTGGTCCGCCTTGCCCTGGCTGCCCGGCCTGACAACTGTGCACAGTAACGGAACTGGGGGCCCTGTTGACATCCTGGACCCTGGTGTCTGGTCCTGGGCAGCTGCTGGCTACAGTCCCACAGCTGCACGGCACGTCCATGCCTTCTCCCGGCCCTCTGAGCCTCAGGAGACTGGGACAAGGGCAGACAGGGGTCCAGGACCCTGCCTTTTGGGTGAGCAAGCCCCTCACAAAGCACTATCCCCTATGCCAACCCCAGTTTCTCCCTCTCCCCCACCAAGGGCCTGGCAGCAGTGGTGACAGGCCAATAAGGTGACAGCAGTGTGAAGCCAACACGACTCTGCCCTCCCTAACTCACCACCTGCAGCCTCAGTTTCCCCTTCTGTCCAATGAGGCGAGCCTGGGAGCAGGGACCTGTCTCTGCCTCATTCATCCCCGAGTCCCTCAGCACCCAGGCCAATGCCCAGCACCCAGCAGGTGTTCAATAAACACCTACTGAGTGATGCGTGCTTTCTGAACACTGGCCCGTGAGCTATGTGGAAACTGACGAGAATAGATTCCAGGTCCCTCCCCAAGACCCCACATGAGAATCTTGGAGTGCAGAGGGAAGAGTCTGTGTTTATTTTTTTTATTTTTATTTTTACTTTTTTGAGTTGGAGTCTCACTCTGTCGCCCAGACTGGAGTGCAGTGGCCGC